ACAAAGTTTTTGGGGATTTATATTGATGAATTTTTAGACTGGTCTTGCCATATTGATTACCTTAGTAAGAAACTAAATAAAATCTGTTTTTGTATCCGAAATGTTTCAATATACCTGAATGAAACGGCACGCAAGGCCTTGTATTTCGCAAACTTTGAAGGAACACTTAGGCAGGAAATATATTCTTTGGGCCAGTAGCTCGAGGACTCGAAATATATTTACAGTACAAAAACGTATACTAAGGACTATCTACGGAATGTCTTCTTTGCAGTCTTGTCAAGGGGTTTTTAAATCAAAGGCTGTTTTAACTGTGTACGGTCTGTACATTTTTGAGGCAATATTATGTGTTACAACACACAGACTAACACTGTCTGAAAAGAGTCCGTACTATATGGGTATAAAATTCTTTAATAAACTAGAAAACAACATTAAAAAAGTAAGAATTGAAAAATTGTTTAAGAATAAATTAAAACAGATGTTAATTGAGTTAGAGCCTTATAGTATTAGAGACTATTTAAAGATGTAACAACAGTACCTTTTAGTATATGTCCTTTGTCAATTGTTTTTTAACGCCATTTCATTTTGTATTCTTCATACATGTGCATGTATCAGAATGTAATTTGAAATAAATAAAAAAATTCAAAAAATATTGAAAAACCGTAACAAATAAAACAGATTGAAGTTAAAGCAGCAACACAAACAACTACAAAATAAAAGTGGACGATTGTTTTTTATCGATCGATCTACGACTGCACAAAGTAAGCTTACCCAATGCTTCCTGGCACGAGCCATATAAAAGATATTCTCTGAACCTCCTAGTCACTTCTTCCTCCTTCAAAACTGACTGTGTGCTCCCATTCTCGGATGCCGGCTGGTTGACCACTGCTGATATTTCATTCTTTTCCAAAACATTGCTACTTGAAGTAGACAGCGCTGATGCAGGCCTGGGTGCCAGTCCCCCAACTCGATCTTTCAGTAGGAGTTCCGCAATGTCAGTACCAACTACCATCTAAAAGCTAATGCGTTCCGAATGACTGAGCAAATTACACTCGTCACGAAAACTTACGCCGTTTTGCCGAATTAGCAGAATAAGCAACTCCCACAATAAAACGTACGATTCAATATCTATAATATTTCTGCTGTAGGCTCCTTTAATTTTGCTTTCACAATACTCGATAATTTGCTTCTTGTGGGTAACTCCTTTACTCAATGGTCCAGGAAAGCAACTTAGTTCCATATAATTCGGATCGCTTTCTACCAAAGTTCGCAAACTAGACACGTGGACAACAGCGCTTTGTCCGTCCATGGGATAATGGGGCAATATTTTTATTAGATTTCCAGATGCTATAGAAGCCTTCAAATGAGCAGTTGAGAATTTAGTTGGTGTGAGCCGTTGTATAGCCGATGGCTGATCTTCGCAGGCCAGAGAAGTATCGGTTTGGTCCAAAACCCTATTGAAGGTATTACTGGAAAACCAATTAAGAAATCTTGATTTAGAAGTGTGATTCGTGTATTAAAAATGCAATGTTATTCACAACATACATACAGAAGCAATGTTATTAGCGGCGTTAGAAACGATGAAACTTCGCGACAATGAAAAGTGAAAGTTTTCGTTAGACAAGCTATATTGAAAATGAAATGTTTTGAAAGTCGATCTTTCTGCTGAATTTCGGCCAATTAGCAAAGCTCAATTTTGATTAGAAATACTTACAATAAATCCAGAAGTTTGAAGATTGTCCCTTAAAATAAAACTAAACGCTTTGAAAATGTTCACCTTTAAGCTCAATTGCCTTTGATTTAAACAATTCTACGGCTAGCCCCAAGCACACTACAAATAATGCAAATATTTACAACGAGGATGTCTGCCATGTTGAATGACTATTTAAATCGTAATTAATGTAACAAAATGTAATTTTAATTTAAAAACGTTCTACACACTCGTCAATTAGAGTAAATATATCGTCGTTTTGGGACACGTTGATTATTAAGATTACTTATGTGATGTGCTTTTGATAACTTACCTAGTATCATCGAGACCATAATGGCCCGATATGGAATGGGACTGTCCGTAGTAGTTCGACTGGCTATAAAAACTTTGTCTCATGTACCTAAACAATGCAGAAAGAAGCTTAACAAACCTAGAAGCGATGTAAATGAGAGACAAATTGTGTCTTCTATTTGACTAGTCCGTATATGTACATTATAAATATGTACACCACAATAAACAACAGATAATGTGCAAGCGTAATTATGCTTTGCTTCATCGAAAACCTCCTCCCCCTTATCGCCCTTACCATCAATCAGTCACAAGCCTGCATCTCAACACTGTTAAAACCTAAACTTAAAGGTAGCAAAACAACAAATATTGACATCATTGATAAAGCGGCTAATCAAACAAACAGGAAAATCAATTTTGTGAGCAGTATGAAATAAAAAGTATAAATTGTTACCTGTCTTTTCCCACCTCCTCATTGGCAGAACTCCTACCGGAGTGCACAGATGCTCTATCTTCGCCAGCAAAAGAAGCGGTACTCCCAGTAGCCTGCTGATAGTATTTGCGATACCATTCCGCGTATGCCTGAGGGTTAGTTCGCCTCAGATTCTCGTAGTACTGATATTGCTGATAATAAGGATTGTATGGATCATAAGCAAAACTCTACAATATTGTAAAATCAATCAAAGTACTTAAACAGGATTAAACAAGATGTATACTTGATAAGGGTTGTATTGATCTTTATGGTCTCTGCTTCTGTAACGATCTCTAGGTGGTCGCCTGTCCCGAGAATCCGGCTCATGACGTCTTTCTCTGTAAGACTCATGCATAGAATCTCGACTTGAAGGCCGACTAGCTCTATCATAATAGTAATAATCGACCCTTCTAGAGGCTTCTCGAATTTCCCTCGGATCGCGATCTTTTCGCCTCCGTTCTTTGTCTTTTCGAAGACTACTATACTTCTTTTCATAATCTACAACAGGTGGAAATTATTTTCGTGCAAAATTTCACTTTGTTTTTATCGATATCCTTCCAAGATTTTAATATTACCTCGTTCCCTATCGTCTCGTAATTTTCTATCCTTATCACTGTAATAATCAGTTTCGTCTTCGTATCGCCTATCCCGATAACGTCTACCTCTGCCATCTCTCTTGTCCCTGTAAGGATCGGGGGAGAATCGATCACTATTTCTCTCTCTACCCCTTAAAAAAAAAAAACATTGCGTGGTATGTTGTAAATTGTAACTTGTAGCAATTACAGCTATTATTGGTAAAATTGAGCAACAATATTTTGTGAAATACATTGCCCCGGGTAAGTCTGCACCTTAATAGTATATTATGTTATGAGCACATAATGGGTGCCATTTCCTATTAGTCCTAATATATGCGAGTAAGAAATGTCCACGACTACATTTTATCTCAAAAAATGGAGAATAAGCTACATAAATTAATGTTGTAAAACTTGCAAACTGCTCATTTCGATTTAAAAAATTAGAACCGTAATGGAATCTGACAGGAAATAATAGTCAATACGTTATTAATCACAAAACTGAAATAACGTTAATATCTGTCATAGATAAAAGATTTCTATTTTGGATTATTCATGCCAGTCTTATTTTATTTGTACAAAGGTATTAATGGCTATGCCAATTTACCTGTCACGGTCAATATCTCTCTCCTTATAGCGCTCTCTATCCTTATCTCTGGACTTGAGCTTTTCGGCCGACCTCCTGTCTCGGTGGCTCCTGGCATTCTTTCTATCGCTCTCACTTTCACTGCTCTCTTGTCGGCTCTGCCGACGTGGCGACAGTTCGGGTTGACTGTTGTTTGACGTTCCGTCAGTCAAATTTTCCCCCACCGTGAGATTACGTACAGCTCTAGTCAGACCAGCAACCTCACCATCAGTTGTCTCCCTTCTGCTTTCTGACTGATCTATTTTTTCGTTGGCGAGTTTTACACTTTTCATGAGCTTTGACTCGTTTGGTAAAGGACCTTGAGGTAAGTCTGGATGATCAACAACTAAAATTTGGTTAGTTTACAATAATGCTATTAGATATTTTGTTCACCTTATGTGAGTATGTATGTAATGAAACAGTTAAATCACTCCGAATAGTATCAGATCGATTCGTACCTAAATTAGGAGATACTGACAATGGAGACAAAATCATCTGGGTTTGAATAGGAGGAGTATCAGCGCCGATAGTAGCTGATCTTGGAGGCTGAACCTCATGGACCAGCTCCCGCTCTGAATCGTTTTCTTCCACGTTCTGCCGACGCAAAGAAGTTTCCGGGGAACTGGACTCTCCAGGAACCATGCGGTGTAAGCCCTCGGGCGGTCCCTGTCTGAGGTCGAACCTCGGCGTAACTGAACATAAACAGCACGTTGACGATTTAGGAATCAGCTTTATGTTTGTGAGGATTACCTTGATTTGAGATATTAGAAGCGTTTCCATTCTGCCCTAAGACCATCCGACTGAACCCAGGAAGTTGATCGGCTCTTCCTCCAATTTCCTTTTGTTCCAGCTGACCTGGGATCATTCGTTGGAGCCCTGGGGGTGGCAACGTATCATTACCAGGATCCACTGCTGACAAAACCAATTTTAAGCAAGAGTTTAACAGATATCAAAAATATCTGCTGCAAACAACCACGAACCATACAATTTGTGTATCTAATAATAGATTTATCGATCACTAGCTATATTCAGCTAATTAATAATTCGAAGTCGATGTTCGCTTTGAACAATCAACTTACCTTCCTGTATGTCTGCTGAATTCATTTCGGACAATTGCCCAGTTTCCAAGTATTGATTACGATCGTTAATCGGCGCTTCGTTGTTATCCGTTTGTGGCCAATTTGGATTGCTTTTTCCAGTCACTAAAGGTTGATCTGGATGCTCTGAATTATCGGGAATCGTTTCCAAATTAACAGGTTGATTGAAAGTGGGAATCGGTGTAGGTTGTTTTATTTCAGATTTAAAAGAGGCAGCGTTTTGATGGGGCAGACCAACCGTACGCTTGTAAGGGTTTCTGGAGGCATCTGAAGGACCTAAATATGTTATCAGTTAGGATATATACTTACATATTTATATTTATTATTCAGTCAAATATGTGAAGCGAAACACAGTATATTAAAATCGCTTCTAAATTTTGCTGTTATGCTATTGCATTTTTCTTTCAACAATTTGATATATACAACCAAAAAACCGCCAGATTGTAGACGCTTTTTCCCAGTTAATTTCTCGCTGGTTAATGGCACACATACCTTGAGGCGGAAGCAATAAAGGCGGAGCATTGCCACTAATTGGGAGTGGTGGAGTGGAATTAACTCGTTTGTTTTCAGTCACGACTTGTTTCAAATTCTCTTTGTTTTCCAGTTGTTGTTGGTTCGTAGCTCCAAATTCTTCCGGTTGACTGGGCAGTTGCAGGATGGAGGGTAACAGCTCCTGTCCGGAAATGGGCGAATGGCTTATAGTAGACGACCTGAAAACAAATCTGAACGAACTGATCCAAAGATAAACATTTCATAACACACCTTGACATCAAATGACTCTTATCACTTTCCGATGTTTGCAAAACATCATCGGATGATTCCAAAGAAGGCTGAGACTCTGTTGACCACTGAGGAGTTTCCAACTTTTTCCGATTACCGACTTCGCATTTGGATTTTAAATCTCCAATTGTTGGAAACAATGGCTGTGCTTGCTGCTTGCAATTATCATCCACGCTCTTTTGTTGAGTGGAGTCCAACGACGTCCAGTTCCACGACTCGTCAGTGGCAGTAAAACTATCCGCTGTAAAAGTAGTGTTTAGTTGATGAGCGAATGCCTTTACTACCTGCACAGCGGCAAACGTTTACCTATCATCATTTGATTTGATAGAATCTGTGGTTGCGTAGATCCAGTGGCGGGTGCGTTGGAATTATCGTCATCGCCCCAGCCCCAATTGCCCCAATCATTAGAGGACTGCTGTGCGGCATAGAGATTATTTTGATCCATTTGCTGTGAGTATTGCACATTACCATAGGCCTACAATTATATGTATAACCATTGACTATTATGCTAAAACGTCCACCGGGAGTGACGAAAATGTACAATTTAATTCGAGTTTGTATTGAATAAAAGTTATAAGAGTTTAAATAGAGTTGAAAAGTTAATACGAGAGAATAACACAACGGTATAACACTGAAATTACCTGCTGTTGATTGTATCCTGCACCGGTAGTTTGATAATAGGCTGACTGGTTGGATGGTTGTAACAGCTGGTACTGACCAGTGTTCTCTGGAATAGAAGCTTCATTTGATGCTGCGTTCGTTTGAGACCAGTGTTGCCTTTGAATCGCCTGAAAAGCAGTAGGTGGTTGGGAGGCAGGTTGCTGCCATCCTTGCGTGGCAGACGACTGCCACTAAAATTCGAGATTAAAATTAGAAAAAATATTTCATCGCACAGAGAGGAATAAAAACCGGTTGGTTACAAAATAAAAGACTCTTGTTTTTTATTACTTGATGCACAAATATGCTTTTCAGTAATAGGTATCGGAAACTACATCTAATGTAGTTTCGCAGCTTCCCTATGTGCCAGTATGCGAGGCAGTTTTGACCACAACTGCATTGATTTTTTGCAGATTAGTATCAACCGCCACCAGCATAACATAAAATGGTATAATAAAGGTTTTGTTCGTAATGAGCTTTTGCTTAATAACACTCTGTTGATTCCTACACGGCCAATCCAACTCAATGCCCTGAGCAGACATACTTTAAAGGTAGTTGGAAGTGTAAAACTTTCTACCTTTAAAACCTTTGCATGTGACTGCCGTGTTATCTCGATGTTAACGTGAAACTGTCACACGAACATTTCCAAAGCAAATTCCAGTTAGATTCTAATAACTATGGCGTCCAAAGTAGGTATTTTTAGAAAACTAGATAAATGATCTAATAATTAAGTAGTTTTAACGGAAACAAATTTAACTATTGACTTGGTTAAAGGGAAAAACATCTTGCTGTTGCGGCCCAAAAAGCTATCAAATCGTCATGGTGCGGCATGGAGAATCGGAGTGGAACCAGAAGAACCTTTTTTGCGGCTGGTTTAACGCTGATTTAAGCGACAGGGGTAGGCAAGAGGCTGTCACTGCAGGAAAGGCATTAAAAAACGCTGGTCACCGGTTTGATCTTGCTTACACGTCTGTCCTACAAAGAGCAAATAAAACACTCGACGGAATTCTGCAAGAGCTGAATCAAACAGGCATCCCAATTGAAAAGACTTGGAGGTTGAACGAAAGGCATTATGGCGGCCTGACAGGACTCAACAAGGTAGATACAGTGGCTAAATATGGGGAAGAACAGGTGGCAATTTGGCGAAGAAGTTTCGACGTACCGCCCCCACCCATCACACCTGATAATCCGTATTACGATGTCATTTTAAATGACCCAATTTATAAAGATGGCCCTCCCAAAAACGAATTTCCCCTGTTCGAATCGTTAGAACTCACCATCAAAAGAACCCTTCCATTTTGGAATGATAAAGTTGTACCGCAATTGAAAGCCGGCAAAAAAATTTTAATAGGTAAGTTGTATCACAGTACATAGGTATAGGTAAGTACATATGTACAATAAATATTATCTAAAATTTTAGCGGCACATGGCAATAGTCTGAGAGGAATAGTCAAACATTTGGATCAGATGAATAATGATGAAATAATGAAACTAAATTTGCCTACTGGTATACCGTTCATGTATACTTTAGACAAAGAACTGAAACCAGTTCCTGGGGGAAGCCTACAGTTCTTAGGTGATCCTGAAACTGTCAAAAAAGCTATGGATGAAGTAGCTAACCAGGGCAAAGCCAAAAAATAGTGGGGCACAGTTGATCCTAAAAACTACCATGAAATGGCTTAATTGTATGAATAAAAAATTAATTAACGAAATATATTATGGGTTTCTCAGCAAAAGTTAAAATGTAAATTGTATTTAATATACCTATTTAAAACATCAGAGAACAGTTCACAGGAAAGAACTTTAAATGAAGATTTCGCATATTACCCACTTAAGTATTCATTCATGACGGGTAGCAGAAACTATAGGCTTACTACATGCAAAGTTCATTATGCTAATAGTAAAACAAAGAACCAACAATAAGCGACTTAGTATCTCAGTCCAGTCCAATATTGTGACAATATGAGATGTGAAACAGTACCAACTTACCTGAGGATCGTTGGAATGTTGAATTGGATGATAAGAGTCTGTTGGGGGATTAGGTGTGGTGTTATTGGGTCTTGTGGGCCCTCTCCTTTGAGCCCAGGACATTATTTACACCCTGCAACGTAATGATAAGCATCCTGACAGTAGTTTAACCTTAATTGTAATTAAGTACTAGATATATATGTGGTTTTTACAGTGAGGTTGATTAATTTAACGAAACAACTGGAGAAATAAAAAAAATACTTGGAATTTAGTGTTCACCATATGGCTGAAATTGCATTGCAACACTAATAGAACAAGAGTAGGAAATAATTTCGTATATTAGCCTAGAACTGAATGCACAGTGCTTTGAAAACGTGTGAGAATTTCCATAAAGACCAATTATGGAAGTAAATCAATTTTACCTTGTTTTTTAGCACATTTTCCAAGTTCACAGTGAACGTCTAACTAGTAAACATCAACAAGGATTAAACGCTCCAATACGTGTAGAACACAACTCAGTACAAGGATTATAACAGTATTTAACAATATTACAATTAAAATAACAATTAGAATAACAAGAAAGTTTTTTGCATTTCGCTATTGAGTAGAAAGTTTGCCTATATGCACCTCCCTTCGAGCCGCTATCCACTAATGCTATCTCGTTTTGATGCATGAAACATGCAGATTATATACGTGTGTTAGAGATAGACAGAAAAATATCGATACTCACCCACCTGTCTTTCAATTTGACATCTCAATGTCCCTTGGTTTTCTCTCTCGTCCGTTCTTCTAGCTTCAGCTTCAGCTACGTTCTTGGACACGTGGCTCGTAGTGTTGCTATATCCTTACACTTATTTATGCATATGGGTCCTTGCTTTTATCTATGTATGAGTCTATTTTTTCTTAATTGTCTTAATCTGCGCCTTTTGGTTGTATTAATTGGGACGAAAGAAGAAGAAGAACACGTCATCATTGTCTCTATCACTCGCAGATGGCGCAACAGGCCTTGAGTGCACAGAATCAATAGTTCACAACACTGATGCCAAGCCTCAACTAAAATTGTATATCTTCACAAAAACATAAATGTATTAAAAAGTGATTAAAGCGGCTTAACGAGTATTATTTGTTTCAACACTGCAATCGTCATATCGTGAAGATACAAACGCAGATATTCAAAAAATACTGACAATTATAGAGACTGCGTCATCAAAGATACAAAGTATATCTAATTTTAATTTTGAATTACTGTTGTTATGATAAAACATGATAGAATAGTTTTTAGTTATTCGGGTTAATGAAGAAAATTAGCATTTTCAGCATTTTATGGTGCTAATAATAATACATTTTTTCCTGAATCTTTAATCGAAGTAAAGAATATGTTGCAGAATAGCATTCATATACAATGAAGGAATTAATTTAATAATGTGTTAACCCTTCAAATTTTGCAAAGTGCTGTATTTTCGACCAATCGATGATAGTACATTATACAGGGTGATTCAAAATTGGCGTCATTCATCTGGAGGTTTGTCTGGGGGTGTTTTATGAGTACAGAAATAGTTGAAAAAAAATTGTTTTTAAATACTGAGAAATTTGCGAAAAACTATATCAGCAGAATGGCAACAATGTTTTTCGAGGTAATCTGCCTAATTAACATTACCTATGTAAAAACCTGTTGCTACGTATTTATTGAAAACTCCTGTAACCATATAAAAATAGAGAGTGCCAAAAAATAGATAAGGATAAACGGTAAGTTCAACAGAATTCGATAAACGTAGGGATCTTCTTTGAGAATCTTCTTCTTTAAACGAGAATTGTTCTGTGTTTTTATCATAAACTCGAATTGTCGTTTATACAGATAAACATACATTTCTGACTTTAACTCTAAACAAGTTAGTGCCTGTGTTGTGCCAAACCTTATTGTGCACTCTTCACTCTTCTCGTCTTCGGTTAATTAACTCCTGCTCAATTTATACCGGTGTTCAATAATCCATTAGTTTAATGTGATCTTACATACGTGGTAGGAATGTAGCCGGTATTTATTTGGTGCCTGGGAAAATGTGAGTTGTTGTGCAATGTTCTGAGTGCTCTGCTGCAATTATCCCGAATACCTGTTCCTCCATGTCTGGAACCCGAACATCTATTGTCATTCACTATCTTCCTGGAGCCATTCTTCTAGTGTCCCTAGCCCTTTGTTGACGTAAGTATTTACAGCTTCTGCTAAGTTAATGTAGCATTCCCCCATAACTCATAGCATATCTGCATATTGCATATTAGTGTACATTTTGTGAGAGAAGCTTCAAAGTAAGTCACAATTTGACAACTGCCCGTTATTTTTGACAAAAGCTATGTATCTGTAACCGCCTGATAATGACAAAAAAACGTCATTGCCGCTGTGACTTTTCATAAAAAAATTGTCGAAGAGAACTTTTTTAATATAAAATTTTTTCGTAATTTGAAGCAAAGATCACAATTTTTCTTTTCGTGTGCTTAAGTATTCCATTAAGTATTGACATTCGATTTTCAACTGTAAATAAATATTTTTTTTTCTCGTACTCTTCAAAAGAGCCCTTAAAAGGAATGGCCAATTTTGAATCACCCTGTATACCTAGGTCAAGAATTGAGCTATTATATACCGAGTACCTACTTAGCATAATGTGCGAAGTATTTAATAGCTTTCTGGATGATGAATCTGGATGAAATTAAATCATATTGTAGGTACCTTGAGTTTAACCTCATACCTAGTATAGCATAAGTTATTAGACTTTATAAGCAAATACTTACTTCTTTTCTGTATTGGCTTAAAAGTTCTACTTACTTGAAACGATCTTGCAACCATACATAAGTACAGGAAACGATTTGTTATGGTCGTTGGTACCTACTAAGCCTCAACAGGTAAGGTTCTTATAGAGGGATTTGGGGATTTTGCATGTCGGTAAGCAACAATTATATTTCAACCGTAAATTGGCTTTCGAAAAGGCAACATCAATAAGGCCGACCATACCCGGAAATAGTACTTATATTAAAAGGTAGATAGATATGCTTAAAGGGGTTCTACTCATTTGCAGTTTTCAGCTTGCTCGGACGAAATGTGACCCCTGTTTGTATCGGATAATGTTGGTGTGGTTTAAACTAGTGGAAAGTCAAACTAGTCTAAATGTGAGACAACCAACACTATTTAAAACATGTTATGAACAATTATATCAAATAACTCAGATAAATATAAATCTCATGAACTCAGTATTAACTATGAAAAAATGAAGAGTTGTTTGCAAATTAATAAAATTGCAGTAATTAATCGTCGGAACAAGTTAAAACTACTTATATCTTTCATATTAAGCTGAGTAAAGAGGAATGGAGAGTTCCTAGACTAATTTAATAATTTTTTTTTACTACTAACCTGAAAAGTCACTATTATTTACTCAATTTCCCTAGTGAGAAGTTTTAATTCTCTCCCTAGGTTAATAATAATTTAAAAAGTCCCTAAGTAAATAATGAAATATGTTTACGTGTTTCGTTATTTTTAAGTTGGCCACCTCCATAAGTTCAAAGGAGACTTAATCCATTTTCACTTCTAAAATCACTGTAACTTTTTTCAGGAGTTTTTCATAGAACTTTTACCTGTTTTCTGGAGACCAAAAAATTGCCTGTAAATTTGCCCGGYAATTTGACAACTTAACGCCAARCTATCAAATACAGTGACACTTAGACAGACAAATAGCGATTAATTGGAATTTACAAATCTAATTAACTTAATTTATAGCGATTAATTGGAATTTACAAATCTAATTAAATTAATTTAGGCAATTATCCGTGTTAGTAGTAAAAAAATTGTATGTATAGGTACGTTTAGTTTATGATTTTAAATTACGCACAACAGCATACAACTTAAAACTATGTTTTTTTAAACTTTAAATTTTTCTCAATGTGGACGTAACAAATGAATCATATTGGACAACCATTTACTTCTCATTAGTAATGTTAATCATTACTAAAGCGCGGAATATATGCAGTTAAATTCAATCAAAATATGCGCATATATATGCATAATTTTTATTCCAAATATGCAATTATATGCAT